CATGTACCCATACATGAACCACCTACTTTAAAACCGCTAACTTATCGCAGACTCGCGTACACAGCAGTGTAAAAAAATCAGACTGTTGCACGGTACTCATTTCACAGGCAATCGTAACCGATTTAGGGGAATGAACAGCATAGGACCTGAATGTAATGACTTGAAGAAAGAATAGGATGCTTGCTTCAATGTTTGGTATTCGGAAAGTTACCTCAAAGGTGATCACAAGAGCGATCCTTGTAGTGAGTTGCTCAAGAGCTACAGAACGTGTGTTACCAAATTGAAGTTGTCAGCCAATTCACTGCCAATTCGCCGGCTGCCAATTCCACCTGGTTGAAGTTGTCTGCCAATTCGATTTAAGCGAGAAATATTCACATTATTTATAAGAACCAGTAAGATAACTGTTACATTCGTCTTAAACAAGGTTTTTCAAACCCATTCAGCTGTTCTGAATGACGAATATTTGTTGCGTGACATCGCAATAGTGGAGTATTTGATCTTCATTTTTATTTAGTTTGTCATACAAGGTTTGCTACGGAATAACTTTTAATGCTGCATATTACCTGTCATTATTATAATTTTATTATAATTTATACCGCATGTTTAGCTCATCTCAATGCCCATTACATTCATCTCAACACGTTTAGTGCGAGAAAAAGCGTCACAAACATGGAACACTTATAACACTTGAAGCTTGTACGAAAGTTTCAAGTGTTGAATAACTTTTCACATGCAATTTCAATTATCAGTTAAATAATTTCATTGTAAACCTTACCGTATATTGAACCCATCTCAATGTCTTTTACTCCCATCTCAACACGTTTACTGTGAGAAAAGGCAACACGAACAACGTACTTTTACTAAGACTAAAAGCTTGTGTGAGCATTTTCGGCATGGAATAACTTGTCACTTGACGTTTCAATTATTGCAAAAACAGTTTTAATGTAAACCTCACTGTACAATTAACTCGTCTCAATGCTCTTTAGACCCATCTCAACATGTTTACTGTGTGAAATGGCAACACGAACAGCGTACATTTACTAAAACTAGAAGCTCCTCTGAGCATTTCCGGCAACGAATAACTTGTCACGTCACATTTCAATTCTTACAAAAGTAATATTAATGTAAATCTCACTCTACAATTAACTCGTCACAATGCCCTTAAGACCCATCTCAACACGTTTACTCTGTGAAACGGCAACACGAACAACCTACATCTACTAAGACTAGAAGCTCGAGTGAGCATTTCCGGTATGGAATAACTTATCACGTGACATTTCCATTCTTAATATAAACCTCCCTGTACAATTAACTCGTGTCAGTGCTCTTTAGACCCATCTCAACACGTTGACTGTGCGAAGCGGCAACACGAACATCGTACAACTACTAAGACTCGTATTTTCTGTAATGCTTGGTATTGCCACAATTAGAGCTCATTGGTAAGTCTTAGTGAGCGAGACCTGGGCTATTGCATACGAGGACCTAGTTGGTTGAGGAGGGACAATGGACTCACATTGTTTGTTAGTAGTGTGCAGTGGTGGATCTAGGGAAGGGGCCAGGGGGGAGGCCCCCCTTACTTTTAGACTATGCTGACGCCCGGAGGGCTGAAATTTTTGTACACGCCCCCCCCGTCCCCCAAATTATCTCTGGGTCTGGATCCGCCAGTGACGTGGAAAGCGTTATCGGGCTGTTCACCCTCATGAAGGCTGCGTTATAAGCGACTGAAATGCAGCTGACTTTCAAGATCATTTTCGATATAGCAAGGTAATCATTAACATAGAAAACTTTACAGTGAAGCGGGTTAAGGCATTGTCAAATAGCATACCGCAAGAGAAGAAGGGCGCGAATATCGTGGGCGAATGAAGACCTTTGAATGCCCAACCGGAATCTGCGAAGAGAGAAGACAAATCGCGAATGAGTTGACTACGCGATTAAGCATCTGACGTAGTTCCTTATTCAAAAGAAGAAAAAAAGTAATCAAACCTGTATTTATTTTTTCATATCACTTTTAAACCGTACAAAGGCAGTGCCAGGATTTACGAAGGAAACATACAAGGTGAAAATAGTCTTTTATGCCGAGAGCGGCTCACTGTTATACCAACTATATAGACAATAGACTGAAATATTTATAATTGCGTTCGTGCACGCAGCCAGGATTCACTGAATGAAGGAGACACATTTTTGGAATAATTTGGCCACTCAAGTGGCGTTTATTACAAACCAATTACAAGTGCTAAAGTGCTAAAGTGTCACGTTAACCGAGAATCATCGCTTAGTGTAACATGACAGTTATTTGATTCAGTGAATTAAGTTGGGGCGAAAATTAGCCCATGTGAAAAAGTACCAAGAGCAGAGGAGGAGCCAAGGGGATGGAGGAGGGTCGGAGAAAGAAATAAGTTCACTATTGAAAAGCTAAACAGCTCACGATCGGCGTTGGCAGAAAAAGGGGCGAGCGATAGCGAAACTCACGAATTTATAGTTATCTTGCCTATCCACCTCTGCAGCTTGCACTTAAAGATAAGATAATGCCCCGCCTCATCATAAAACCCATTATCGCGCCGAGTCAATAATGGGTCAATTTCTTACCTTCCGTTTTCTATTAATAGTGTATCGTGGCCTGATGAGCCTTGGCGAATACACTTTGACTCTTTTGGAGTTTCTCTTGTGTTGCTCATGATCACGTTTCTGAAAAAAAACAAAAAGGTTCATAAGGTAAATGTTTTGCACCAACTAGATATTACAAGACTGGAAGTTTTAGTTGCATATATTATCCGTGAAGTGAAGTAGTGCAGAAGGGTTGGCAAGGTGACAGTGTTTGAATTCAGGCGCATTTATGTACTGATGTGAACAAGGACATCTTCGCCCTTATCGCTCCCTCGGTTCTATGACATGAATCAGTGTTATCTTTCTGTAAAATAAATATTAAATAAATAACAATAATAATAATAAGTGCATGATACTATTTATCGGGCACGGAAGTGAATGACAGTAAATTTTTGAAGAGTAAAATATGCCTTTTCCAGAATGTTATGTTTGGCAAAAACTGTTTTTATGGGGCGGGGGGTAGAGATACCCAAAAGACGTACGCCATCATAATGAAAGACCTTTAAAAAGAATAAAATTTTCGTTACTTGAAAGCTGCCACAAAGCTGCGAGTGAGTTCATTACCTAGCTTTCAAAATGAAAACAGAAAAATGAAAAAGAAACTTGCAGGTATGCATTGAGCCATTTAACCATCAGCAGTAGTACAGGTCTGTTTACGCACTATTGTTATGCAAATGAGGTTGGTCGCCATACAAAGCCTTCTAAATTTTGGAGTGATGACGGTATACAGCGGACACCCTAAAGGCAACATCTGTAACTAAGAACGCTAGTTGTTGCTAAGGAAAAGGCGATGAAGAAATTTTGGGCGGAGGGTCTTACCCTAATCAGTCGAGGGCAGTGTTTAAACCTAATCAGACGAGGGCAGTGTTTAAACCTAATCAGTCGAAGGCATTTTTCTAACCCTAATAAGTCGAGGGCAGTTTTTAACCCTAACAATCGAAGGCATTTTTCTAACCCTAATCAGTCGAGGGCAGTGTTTAACCCTAACAAATCGAAGGCGTTTTTCTAACCCTAATCAGTCGAGGGCAGTGTTTAACCCTAACAAATCGAAGGCACTTTTCTAACCCTAATCAGTCGAGGGCAGTGTTTAACCCTAACAATATCGAAGGCACTTTTCTAACCCTAATCAGTCGAGGGCAGTGTTTAACCCTAACAAATCGAAGGCATTTTCCTAACCCTAATCAGTCGAGGGCCGTGTTGAGCGCTACATCGGTCGAGTTCAATGTCTCAACTTAACAATCAGTAGAGTCCAAGGTCCAATCTCTAGGGTCATGACAACTTGCACGTTTTCACACAAGGATTTGCTGACTCGGCAGAATTTGTTTCTATTTTTAGATCATGACGTCATTCTTTTGACTAGAGTAGGTATAAAAGACCGCTAGCAACTCTCATTTTTTCATTCAACCCCACATCATTTGGAGTGAGCGGAACTCATCCATAATGGTTTTTACTTATCCAAGACCATGCCCTACCTGCGGAAAGAAACTCAAGAATAGAAGTTCCTATTCACGTCATAGGAAATATTGCGGGAAGACAACAGTCCCTATTCCATGCCCGTATTGTGAATCAACTTTTAAAAGAAAAGATGATCTGTCAAAACATAACAAACACTTCCATTCTGAAAAAGCTAAGAGAAAAGCAGAAGAAAGCAGTGAATTAGCGAGGATGGAGTTATTACATGCAGACAAAGTACCCCATTTATCAATTGAAAGTCAGACGGGTGGGGCTGTGACTACTATACGCATGAAAAAAGACCTTGACAGTGAGAAGAAGGACCTAAACCCTGTGAAAAAAGAAGAGCCACAGGCAGTCAAAAGAAAATTAGACGATGAAGATGATGTTGATATGTCTCACCTCATGGACGACGGCCTGGATGATTTTTTGGGAGAGAGAGCCAACCGTTTGGAACTGTCTGAGAATCCTTTGTTCAAAGCCAATCTCACGTTTCTACCATACAAACGGCAAGGTTTAAAGGGAGCAGTCAAAAAAGAGCAATTTTCCTTCACGTTTGATCAGCTACGTAAAGCCACCGAAGAGGAATCTTTGGGAGATGGGTTGTCGGAGTCCCTCTTTGAAGCGGTAAGAGACATGATCTTAAAGGAAAAATTGCCGGATTCAACTAAAGTCCATCTCACTTCAACCTCAAAGGAACATTCCAATGGCACTGTGAATTCAGGATTTTTATCTCACGTAAAATATGGGATTCCCGTCAAAGAGTTCGTGAAACGTGGCGATTATGTTCATGCTATGTTTGAGTCACTCGCCCGTAAAATGAACAGTGCTCAAAATATGAATCCAGCGATTGGGTTCAATGCAACTCTCACGTTTATTACCTACCCTGAAAAAGGTGGTAAAGGTCCAGCTTCTAAAAATCCAAACAGATTTTTGATCATTGTATGATCAAGATCAAAAACACAGATGATTTATGTTGTGCCCGTGCCCTCGTAACGATGAAAGAGTACGTGGATGGAGACCCAGACAAACAATATAGAAATCTACGTGATGGCAGACCCATTCAAGAACGCCTAGCCAAGCAGCTTCACCAAGATGCAATTGTACCTGAGGGACCCTGTGGCTATGACGAACTAGAAAAATTGCAAGCGTTTCTAGGACCCCAAGGCTACAAAATCATCGTGGTAGATTACGTCTCTTGTGCCTGTATTTTTCAAGGCAATGTGGATCAGTATAGCAAAGTCATTTATTTGCTTAAACACGACAATCATTACAATGGCTTACGAAGCATGGCCGCCTTTCTGAATCGATCCTACTTCTGCCCTGATTGCTGTAAAGGGTTCAACACAGATGACACAGCAAGCCATTCTTGTAGTGGTCGTAATTGCTGTAGTTGTCAGCGCACACGTTCTCAGAAAAATAGTGGTGGCTGCCCAGATTTTTCCCCAGGAAAAAGAGAACCATTCACTGTAAAGACTGCCAGCGGGATTTCTATGGTCCAGATTGTTTCAAGGCTCATAAAGAAACAAAAGGCAAGAAAAAAGTGAGTCTTTGTCAGAAGCTAAAAAGTGTTTAAAATGCTGTAAAGGTTATAAAGTCAATCCAAAGAAGCCACACAAATGCTACCATGACACTTGCCGTTACTGCCATGAATTTGTTGAAATATACAATCACAAATGTTACATCCAACGTGTTAAAGAGGTAGATGATGAGGAACACGATGATGATGATGATGATGACGAGGAAAAGAAGCTACCACCTCTCATGGTGTTTGCTGACATCGAATGTTTGATAGAACCCACAGAGCAGGGAAAGCAGTTATTCATAGCAGATTTGGTTCGATATGCTACTGAAGAAGATCCACACAATGTTTCTCATGCCTTTAGTGGCGAAACCTGCATTCAAAAGTTTATTGACGCAATGAATCAACTAACAGAAGTGGGAGACAAACAGCGCGATTTATTTATAATTTTTCACAACCTCAAGGGTTTTGATAGCAACTTTATCATCGAGGAACTTTACCGTCAGGGTATTAAGGTGGAAAACCAGCTGACGACGGGCGCCAAAACCCTGAAGTTTCATTACTGGTATCTGGACGCCATGATTACCTTCAAAGATTCACTTTGTTTTCTCCCAATGCCACTGGCCGAGTTGCCTGAAACATTCAATTTCGTCGAGCTTCATAAAGGTTTCTTTCCGCATGCGTTCCATACAAGAGAGAGTTTAACTTACAGGGGTCGTCTACCGGCAAGACACTATTTTCAGCCACAAGCAATGAAGCAAAAGAAACGAAAGGAGTTTGACACTTGGTACGCGACTGAATTGGCAAGAAATGAAGAATATGTTCTCTGGGAGGAGTTAAACAAGTACTGCTATAAAAATGAAATCTGTGAGTTTAGAATACAGATCGACGGCTAATTCTGAAAGTTGTCTCGGTCTAGGCAACGTGTGTAGTTTAGAAGTTAGTTCCAAAGACTTTAAAATACCGGCCTTTAGACTGCTAATAAATCCTTATGTGTTTAAATCGTAAAGACTATAGCGTACTAGAAAACGTAGGTGTTTTTGAAAATCTTTTTATTACACGAGTCATTGACAGTTACTTTTCTAACCTACGGATTGTAGTACAGCTTCAGTGAAAAAGTTGCTTTTCAAAGCTATAAAACTTTTCTCTGTCAGCAAAAAATGCGAATGTTTTCTTATTCATAAACAATCTTTGGCCCAAAGCTAGATCCTCTAGCACAGACATGTCGTCTAGCCCTGGTGTTTAGCTGGTTTGCATTAAAAGTAAACTGTTTCTCATCAGAGCTAGACTGTTCTTCATCAGAGCTAAACGGGACCTCCTCGCAGTTAATCGGGTTCTCCTTGAAATTTTCTCTGGTCAGTGATACAACGGACGTAGGTTTATTGATGGTCTGTTTCACTGTCTTCTTTTGAGGTTGTTTTCGCCGTTTGCTCTCGACGTTTTGTTTCACAGGATTCGCCTTGATTGTCCCTGATTTTTTCTGCTTCTGTTCAGATTGTTTTCGGTGTTTGTCTTTCACTAACGGTGGATCTATGGGACGTTTTCGAGATACCAGTTCAGGTTTATCTGCCTCCGATACTGTTTTAGAACAAGTGGTTATGTTAGGACAACAGTGGCAGTTTCAAACACCTCGGCCACAACTTGTTTCTCTGTTGGAGTCTTGGGTTGATTGTCCACCAAAAGATACCCATAAGGCTTTTCGGTTTCTTTCGCATAGACTTTCATAAAGTTTGACCTGTCTTTCGCAAAAATCCGCTCCGCCACCATGTCGATTTGCTTACGATCACTGGGACTACGAAAGAGGACCATATACTGAGCATTCCTGCTGATATCAGTGTTGAACTTTCCTTTGGGAAACATATTTTGCAGCAATAATATCACACTAGCATTGCGATGACGGCCTTGTGTAAACAGTGTTGATAACACGGGACTGTCAGTTGCCTTGCTCATTAGATTATCAAACACCAACACATTGTGAAACTTTGGATTGATTTCTCTTAGATCTTCACTCAGTGCAGGTAAGCCTTGGGTAAATACAATCTCATCAATAAGTGTAGATTGCAAGGACGCATACCGTGGTTACCATTGATTGTAAAACCAGAAAATACGTCTCTGTTTCTTACTGGGGTACTTGATACAATTCTTCTTTAACAGTTGCTCCACGAAAGACGTTTTTCCACACTGACTTGGCCCCACCACGAGCATCGAAAACATGTGGTTAAACTTAAAGTCTGGGTAAGGGCTCGTCTCTAAACAGTTAGCTGTTTCTAGCTTGGTTACTTTTCGCTGTTTCGGTTCAGTCTTTAGAGCTTGTCTAACGAGTTTTAATGGTTGAGGGGTGTGGCTCCAAGGAGGTGGTGGCATTCCCCAAAAGGGGTAAGGAGCCATGTAAGGTAATCCAGTGGATTTTGCTGAGGAAAAGATCGCAGATTTTAGCCACGGTTTTCGTTCTTCACTGGATAACTGATGGACTTGGGCTAGGTGGTGACTTAAAGACAGTAGACCACTCTTACAACAGATTGGACAATTTCGTCTGTTTCGATAAGGCATGTTGACTCTTCGGCGTCTTATCACAGCTAGTCGCTTTTCCACAGAGTCTCATATTATTTATACCTTTTCGATTCATTCAGTTGAATGTAGGGTGCCTGTGAGGTGCCTGAGGGTGCCTGTAGGGTGCCTATAGGGTGCCTGTGGAGTGTCTGTGGGGTGCCTGTGGGGTGCCTGTGGGGTGCCTGTGGTCGATGAAAATTCATAGACTCCAGTGCAGATTGCTTAGAACTAAACAACTGTAATACACATTTCATTCCAGTTTTATTTGCAGACGTTTTCCGCACGTTACAAAATTAAGTTGCAGGCTTTTTCAACACGTTACGAAATTAACTTGCAGACTTTTTCAACATGTTACGAAATTAACTTGCAGAGTTTTACTGCAATCTGTTCACTCCTCATAGAATGACAGGTTCATTAGCAGTCACTTTGCTGTGTTCCCTGGAGGAGGTCTCTATTTTGACGAGAGAGGTCTTGGGTGTTTTTCTCTGCTCAAGGATGGCATTCAGGCCTTGATACAATGGGTAGACGACTTCAAACACTAAGTTGCGGTCCCCTTGTTTGCCAGGTGTCTGTCGCTTTAGATCTACCACATACAAATCTGTGTCTCCAATTTTGGTATAAGTGGCTTTAAACTTTGGATAATCCAGAGCCAATTCCATCCAGGAGAGTTTATCCTCGTTCTTAGCCTCACGTTCTCTCTGCTCACGTTCAGCTTTCATTTCCTCTAGATCTCTATCCCATTCACGCTGCTCTGCGGGAGTCCAATCGTCATACCCTCCTATCCACATGATGATTTGTGATAAATGATAGATAGAATAGCACACCCCTTTCTCTTATACCTTAGACCTCACCTCAGGCTATAAATAGAATTGAATTGTGTCTATCATTATCAGTTGTACGTTTGATTGCCTAGAGGTAACATGTCTGTTATGGGTGGTTCTGTAGAAGCACTTTCTACCAAGACTGGTAATGAACCCACCGAAAAAACCATGCCTGCCAAGACCAGGTTGAAGGGTTATCGACAAAAACTGATGACGATCAAAGCTAGAATCAAGTATCGAGAGCATACCCTCAAAGGGTTCAAAAAACATCTCAAGAATGGTACGTTTCCGCAAAGAATGAAATCTATAAAACCACACCCAAAAATTAGTTCCCCCGAAGCTCAAGCTATCGTCAATGCTGCCTGTGATCAAGTGCAAAGTGTCATTTTGGATCAAATGATTCAAGAAGAAGAGAAGAAACTCTCTCAAGATCAAGACAGTTATCAAACTATGAGGAAGCAACGGGAAGGTGATCGTCAGCAGCTCAAGGCCCCTAAAAAACCCAAGAAACCTACTGTGGCTCAACTCCAGCAAGAGCTCGCAGACTTGCAGTCAAAATATACCCAACTTTGTAGTAAATTAGAAAACAGTCAGTGAATAAAACACAGTCAGTTGAAATGTATAAACAATGTGTGATTTACTTACCTTATATAGCAAATGACGTACCTAGTGAAATTGCAATGCTGTGAAAGTAAGCTACCCTTGTTTATACTTGGCCTTCAACTTCAGAGAATATGTTTTACCTATAACCAAAGTCTCCGCTTCAGGGTAGACAACCACTACTTCCCATTCGCTCTCTGGGTTTCGTGTTACTTGTGGGTGTAAATGTTCCACTACGTGCAGGCGCTGTACTAACGTAGTGTTTGTGCGAACTGCGAATCGCTGTAATCCCCCTCTCATCTTGCCCCTTGTATGTCCCTTACACTGTGTTTTCTAAAATATGCTTGAAATAACCAATCACAGCTGCTGCTTTGGGATCCACGTTTATTACACAATCTGAGCCCACGAAAGTGCGATTCCCGTTCCATTTGTTTTCTACAAAGAAGTAAGATTCTATGTGTGTTTGACCACAAAGGCAGACGTTATGTTCGCCGTGTTCAGTGGGTCTGGATTCCGCAAATTGCCACTCGTTCTTGAAGTTCTTCTCTTCACTTAAATGTTGCAAATGAAGATACAAATTTACTTGTATTTGTCATCAACCAGCTATAACTTAACCAATCAAAGAGGGCTAACATGATGCGTGCTAAGTTGCACGTCCAAGGAAAGAATGCAAAGTGGGAATATTTGTCAACACCCCAAGACATCTTGTTAAAAGCAGCGGTAACGGTTCGACTGCTTGCAATGAAATATAACACTGTGATTTCATAGGGTACCCATGACGTGTAATCCAACGTTGAAGTGCTTGTAATAAAGCATCGCTCATAGACATCAACAAACTTTCATGCAAAGCAGGGACACATAATTGTTGAATACACAAATCCAATTGAATTTCCACCACCGAATCGTTACCACACGATCCGCTAATTCTGTTAACTCCACAGAAATCACTGGGTTGTAAAGGTCATAGCAATGAGAACTAGTCAGACGTTTGTCTTGCCAGTATGAAAATTGTCCCAAATCTTGCATAGATACTGTCTGCATTGTGACTGCTGTTTAACACGTTCGCTAAAATCATTCTACTTACTATGCCTGAAAAACGCTGAGTCAGCAAGTCCCCTCTCTCGCTAGGATCCAGACCCACGCAATCTCTGTTAGAGTGGGAGGGGAGGGGTTAGGGGAAGAGAGTGTTTTTAGGGCAAGGGAGTGGGGTTAGCGCAATCTAGCTTTGTTTAAGAGATAAGTAGTCAGGTAGATCAATCACACAGAAATAATCCTTACACACGTTTATTGAATCAATAACCTAGCGTACAAATCTCTAGGCAAAAATGCTAACTTAAAAAGCCTTAGGAGGCCTAGTTCAAGTGTGTTGGCCTATCCAATCATAACCATAAGGTTTGCTGCTACAATCCTTTGTTTGAATCACCCGCTTTTCAAAGACAAGGCGATAATTCTTGACTTTAGGGGTTAGACAGATTTTCTTGGTGGTCCTATTGGTGTCCATATTCACGCTTACAGGTACTGCAATAGGCTGTGGTGCATTCCCAGGGTTTTTGATCGCAGCTAAAATGTGACTTTTCATGGAATCAAAATTCAACAGAGCCCTGCCCTGCTCATCCTGGGTAAAACCGCGTATTTTGCATTCTGTTTCACCATTTTGTAGCATGTAAGTGTAATTTTTTGGACCCCCTGTCGCAAACCCCTGTATGGGTACGCCAGCGGTTTCGTCTTTCATCTGACCCAAAAACGGACCCGTCTCCACTTCAGGTAAACCGTTATGCCAAAGATTAATGATGCTGTCTGTATAAAAATATAGAACTTGATCCTTCAACTGTTCCAAATACTTGTACAACTCTAAGCGGGCCCATGACGTGGTGAAACTCGCGATAAAAATGTTGGTTTTATTGCTTGGAATGACCTCTTCTACAGCTTTACTGACATCAATTTCTACTATATCATCAGTGCATATTCGTATGTCGTGAATGTTGTTACCAGCATCTTCTATTATTGCATATAGCTCTGCAGGACTTGTGACGGTAAAGGTTTGAGTCTTGTTGGGTTTCTCGCCGAATTTGCCCCAGAAGCTGAAAATACAAAGAGGGAAACAAATCAAACAATGATTCTTTGAAGATCTTTGTCCTATCTTTTCATTCTAATTCTAATTACCTGTTGAGCATAAGTTTGGCCACTTGTTTCCGTCCCCCGTTTTTGGCCACTTTTGCAGGCTCTAGCTGAACCCCTTCACGGTCATAGCAAGCATTTATGTACTCTGACTTTGCTGCCTCTGTGGTACAATTCTTGGGCCAACCCGATGCTTCAGTTTTATTTTTGAGCCATTTATTTACATAGTCTGCAAACAAGCCCTCTTCGCGCTGATTTTCAGAAAAATGCCACACCTCGTGAATTTTTAGGACCTACTAACCAAGGTCCACAGCTTTCTGCAACTCGGGTGTGCACCAAGTGCCCGTTATACACCGTTCCTTCGCAGTGTGGGTTCAAACCGCTGTACGAGTCAACCATTGTTTTTCCAATTCTTCCTTTACACATTGTGTACATAGAGGAAACATGAGTTTGCCACCAATGTGGACGGGGAGTACTGGATGATACAAATGGGGTGGTGGGAGAATCTTGACTTTTGCTATGCCAAAGTAACTGCCAATATCTTGATTTGTTGGATTAACCAAAATCTCGGGGTGACCCACTGGATACGTTTTTGTTTTGTTGACGTACGGGTAAAGCGAATTGATGTCTACATAGTGAATTTCTTCTCCTGCTGCTGCAACACAATGTAAACGCACTCCATTGGTTCTACCACCAAAGAAGCTATCTCTAGGGTTCAATGGCTCAGACAGCTCAAAGGTCTTCAAAAATTCCATGAGAGTGGGGTTTGTCTTCTTCTCAATCTCAAAATCATGCTCCCATTTCTCAATCACCGTATAGCCTGCTTGACGTAACTTCTGTGTCTTTTTACAGGTGGCTTCATAGATTTCTGAGATGGTACGATCTGGATGACAATTGTGTTTCCTGTAGCGATGGTTTGGGAAACATTTAACACACCCATGATAAAAGCAACCATGAAATTCATACACCGTTTTGGTAGTTTCGTCATAGCCATCGACAAACAGAGCCTCGCCTTGTGTGATCATCTTTTGCTCTCCCCCGTTGCGGACATGGCGTAGTTTATTTCCTCCTAGTTTAGAATCTTCAAAACATAACCATTCTAGTGCTGCTGTACTTTGATTCACATTAGCACTACACCAGCCATTCAATGGTTCTATGGCAATGGTATCCTCGGGGATAAGATCTCTTCGCCAGAATAAATTGCATGCAGAAGCAATGGTGGCGCATTTTTCTATAGGATTAAACCCTGCTTCCTCTTTAAATTCTTGTATAAACTTTAGACAGGCAGCTTTCAATACCATTACCTCAGAATGGCAGTACTTGTTTAACTCCTCCCAGAGAACATATTCTTCATTTCTTGCCAATTCAGTCGCGTACCAAGTGTCAAACTCCTTTCGTTTCTTTTGCTTCATTGCTTGTGGCTAAAAATAGTGTCTTGCCGGTAGACGACCCCTGTAAGTTAAACTCTCTCTTGTATGGAACGCATGCGGAAAGAAACCTTTATGAAGCTCGACGAAATTGAATGTTTCAGGCAACTCGGCCAGTGGCATTGGGAGAAAACAAAGTGAATCTTTGAAGGTAATCATGGCGTCCAGATACCAGTAATGAAACTTCAGGGTTTTGGCGCCCGTCGTCAGCTGGTTTTCCACCTTAATACCCTGACGGTAAAGTTCCTCGATGATAAAGTTGCTATCAAAACCCTTGAGGTTGTGAAAAATTATAAATAAATCGCGCTGTTTGTCTCCCACTTCTGTTAGTTGATTCATTGCGTCAATAAACTTTTGAATGCAGGTTTCGCCACTAAAGGCATGAGAAACATTGTGTGGATCTTCTTCAGTAGCATATCGAACCAAATCTGCTATGAATAACTGCTTTCCCTGCTCTGTGGGTTCTATCAAACATTCGATGTCAGCAAACACCATGAGAGGTGGTAGCTTCTTTTCCTCGTCATCATCATCATCATCATCGTGTTCCTCATCATCTACCTCTTTAACACGTTGGATGTAACATTTGTGATTGTATATTTCAACAAATTCATGGCAGTAACGGCAAGTGTCATGGTAGCATTTGTGTGGCTTCTTTGGATTGACTTTATAACCTTTACAGCATTTTAAACACTTTTTTAGCTTCTGACAAAGACTCACTTTTTTCTTGCCTTTTGTTTCTTTATGAGCCTTGAAACAGTCTGGACCATAGAAATCCCGCTGGCAGTCTTTACAGTGAATGGTTCTCTTTTTTCCTGGGGAAAAATCTGGGCAGCCACCACTATTTTTCTGAGAACGTGTGCGCTGACAACTACAGCAATTACGACCACTACAAGAATGGCTTGCTGTGTCATCTGTGTTGAACCCTTTACAGCAATCAGGGCAGAAGTAGGATCGATTCAGAAAGGCGGCCATGCTTCGTAAGCCATTGTAATGATTGTCGTGTTTAAGCAAATAAATGACTTTGCTATACTGATCCACATTGCCTTGAAAAATACAGGCACAAGAGACGTAATCTACCACGATGATTTTGTAGCCTTGGGGTCCTAGAAACGCTTGCAATTTTTCTAGTTCGTCATAGCCACAGGGTCCCTCAGGTACAATTGCATCTTGGTGAAGCTGCTTGGCTAGGCGTTCTTGAATGGGTCTGCCATCACGTAGATTTCTATATTGTTTGTCTGGGTCTCCATCCACGTACTCTTTCATCGTTACGAGGGCACGGGCACAACATAAATCATCTGTGTTTTTGATCTTGATCATACAATTTTTCTTTTTGTGCATCAAATCAAATGGCAATCTGTTTGGATTTTTAGAAGCTGGACCTTTACCACCTTTTTCAGGGTAGGTAATAAACGTGAGAGTTGCATTGAACCCAATCGCTGGATTCATATTTTGAGCACTGTTCATTTTACGGGCGAGTGACTCAAACATAGCATGAACATAATCGCCACGTTTCACGAACTCTTTGACGGGAATCCCATATTTTACGTGAGATAAAAATCCTGAATTCACAGTGCCATTGGAATGTTCCTTTGAGGTTAAAGTGAGATGGACTTTAGTTGAATCCGGCAATTTTTCCTTTAAGATCATGTCTCTTACCGCTTCAAAGAGGGACTCCAACAACCCATCTCCCAAAGATTCCTCTTCGGTGGCTTTACGTAGCTGATCAAACGTGAAGGAAAATTGCTCTTTTTTGACTGCTCCCTTTAAACCTTGCCGTTTGTATGGTAGAAACGTGAGATTGGCTTTGAACAAAGGATTCTCAGACAGTTCCAAACGGTTGGCTCTCTCTCCCAAAAAATCATCCAGGCCGTCGTCCATGAGGTGAGACATATCAACATCATCTTCATCGTCTAATTTTCTTTTGACTGCCTGTGGCTCTTCTTTTTTCACAGGGTTTAGGTCCTTCTTCTCACTGTCAAGGTCTTTTTTCATGCGTATAGTAGTCACAGCCCCACCCGTCTGACTTTCAATTGATAAATGGGGTACTTTGTCTGCATGTAATAACTCCATCCTCGCTAATTCACTGCTTTCTTCTGCTTTTCTCTTAGCTTTTTCAGAATGGAAGTGTTTGTTATGTTTTGACAGATCATCTTTTCTTTTAAAAGTTGATTCACAATACGGGCATGGAATAGGGACTGTTGTCTTCCCGCAATATTTCCTATGACGTGAATAGGAACTTCTATTCTTGAGTTTCTTTCCGCAGGTAGGGCATGGTCTTGGATAAGTAAAAACCATTATGGATGAGTTCCGCTCACTCCAAATGATGTGGGGTTGAATGAAAAAATGAGAGTTGCTAGCGGTCTTTTATACCTACTCTAGTCAAAAGAATGACGTCATGATCTAAAAATAGAAACAAATTCTGCCGAGTCAGCAAATCCTTGTGTGAAAACGTGCAAGTTGTCATGACCCTAGAGATTGGACCTTGGACTCTACTGATTGTTAAGTTGAGACATTGAACTCGACCGATGTAGCGCTCAACACGGCCCTCGACTGATTAGGGTTAGGAAAATGCCTTCGATTTGTTACGGTTAAACACTGCCCTCGACTGATTAGGGTTAGAAAAGTGCCTTCGATTTGTTAGGGTTAAACACTGCCCTCGACTGATTAGGGTTAGAAAAATGCCTTCGATTGTTAGGGTTAAAAACTGCCCTCGACTTATTAGGGTTAGAAAAATGCCTTCGACTGATTAGGTTTAAACACTGCCCTCGTCTGATTAGGTTTAAACACTGCCCTCGACTGATTAGGGTAAGACCCTCCGCCCAAAATTTCTTCATCGCCTTTTCCTTAGCAACAACTAGCGTTCTTAGTTACAGATGTTGCCTTTAGGGTGCCCGCTGTATACCGTCATCACTCCAAAATTTAGAAGGCTTTGTATGGCGACCAACCTCATTTGCATAACAATAGTGCGTAAACAGACCTGTACTACGGCTACCATCAGTTTGTAATGTCCCATTGGATTACGTCTTGTTAGAACGAATGTTTCCTATACCAAAGTGTGTAATGATGCCAATGGGCCCGCGCACACGACCTGTCACGGATCCAGCCCTGGAAGAATTGCGGGTGCATTGAGGCACACACAGCTGGATACCTATCCTATCAGGCCCATCACAAAAGGAGCCATGAAAACGTAACAACAAGCGCTTATTCTAACCTTGCCCTCAAGTGTTTTTGTTACAAGATCTACAACATATTTCGACCGCCAAACGTGATATATGGCCTTCACCGAACGGGATCCCGGGACACCGTTCTCATATGTGGTGGGAATTGATTTCCAGTAAGACCCTTCTTTCAATCCCTTCAAGGTATCAGAAGTGCCAGGGAGTCCGGTCTTAACTATTAGTTCTGCTAGTCGCTGGCAATCCAGACTTTTGACGAGCTCTGACTTTCCATTGAGGAAATGACACGCAATAAAAGTCGTTGTTATAAAATAATTTGAATTACAAGAAGGATAAAAGATCACAGCAAACAATGAAAGCAAAAAGTAACAACTTACCTTTCTTGCCATTATTCCATTATCTTACGTAACCCGCGACAAGTTCCAGGTTTAATGAAATGCCGTCCGTCTGCGCTTTTAACTAGGTATTTGTAGTAATTTATGATTGTCATAATGTTGTCATTGTCCGTTTGCAATTATGACAAAAAAAAAAAACAAGAACAAAAACAAAACGGTTCAGACCTGCTAATTACTAGGAGGGAAACTCATACTAACATTGGAATGGAAAAAATCGAAGCCTAACAATGTAAATAATGAGAAGCGGGTCTTTAACCACTTGACAATACTATTGCGATGATAGAAAAGGTATAGTAAATCAGTTGACTCTATTTCTTGAACTCTTTATTCTGTTAAGACCACTAAAGAAAACACACTTTCAAATTATTCTGTTATTCAAAGAGATGGGTCCAAAGGGCATTGAGATGAGGTTATCGTACAGTGAGGTTTACATTAAAACTATTTTTGCAATAATTGAATTGTCACGTGACAAGTTATGCTCACACGGGCATCTAGGCTTGGTAAATGTACGTTGTTCGTGTTGCCGTTTTACAGAGTAAACGTATTGAGATGGGTCTAAATGGCGTTGAGATGAGTTAAATGTACAGCAAGGTTTACGTTAAAAACGTTTTAGCAATAATTGAAATGTCACGTGACAAGTTATTCCATGCTGGAAATGCTCACCCAAGCTTCTAGTCTTAGTAAATATACGTTGTTCGTGTTGCCGTTTCACAGAGTAAACGTGTTGTGATGGGTGTAACGAGCATTGAGACGAGTTAATTGTACAGTGAGGTTTATATTAAAATCACTTTTGTAAGAATTGAAATGTCACGTGTTAAGTTATTCGTTGCCGGAAATACTCACACGAGCTTTTAGTCTTCATAAATGTACGTTGTTCGTGTTGCCGTTTCACACAGTAAAGGAGTTGAGATGGTTCTAAAGAGCATTGAAACAAATTAATTGTACAGTCAGGTTTATATTAAAATTATTTTTGTAAGAATGAAAATGTCATGTGATAAGTTATTCCATACCGAAAATGCTCACTCGAGCTTCTAGTCTTGGTAGATGTACGTTGTTCGTGTTGCCGTTTCACAGAGTAAACGTATTGAGATAGGTCTAAAGGACATTGAGATGAGTTAATTGTACAGTGAGGTTTATATTAAAACTGTTTTTGTAAGAATTGAAATGTCACGTGACAAGTTATTCGTTGCCGGAAATACTCACACGAGCTTCTAGTCTTCGTAAATGTGCGCTGTTCGTGTTGCCGTTTCACGCAGTAAACGTGTTGAGATGGGTGTAAAGAGCATTGAGACGAATTAATTGTACGGTCAGGTTTATATTAAAATTATTTTTGTAAGAATGGAAATGTCAGGTGATAAGTTATTCCATACCGGAAATGCTCACTCGAGCTTCTAGTCTCAGTAGATGTACGTTGTTCGTGTTGCCGTTTCACAGAGTAAACGTATTGAGATGGGTCTAAAGGACATTGAGATGAGTTAATTGTACAGTGAGGTTTATATTAAAACTGTTTTTGTAAGAATTGAAATGTCACGTGACAAGTTATTCGTTGCCGGAAATACTCACACGAGCTTCTAGTCTTCGTAAATGTGCGCTGTTCGTGTTGCCGTTTCACGCAGTAAACGTGTTGAGATGGGTGTAAAGAGCATTGAGACGAATTAATTGTACGGTCAGGTTTATATTAAAATTATTTTTGTAAGAATGGAAATGTCAGGTGATAAGTTATTCCATACCGGAAATGCTCACTCGAGCTTCTAGTCTCAGTAGATGTACGTTGTTCGTGTTGCCGTTTCACAGAGTAAACGTATTGAGATGGGTCTAAAGGACATTGAGATGAGTTAATTGTACAGTGAGGTTTATATTAAAATGATTTTGGTAAGAATTGAAAAGTCACGAGATAAGTTATTCCATACCGGAAATGCTCACACGAGCTTCTAGTCTTAATAGTTGTACGATGTTCGTGTTGCCGCTTCGCACAGTCAACGTGTTGAGATGGGTCTAAAGAGCACTGACACGAGTTAATTGCACAGGGAGGTTTATATTAAGAATGGAAACGTCACGTGATAAGTTATTTCATACCGGAAATGCTCACTCGAGTTTCTAGTCTTAGTAGATGTAGGTTGTTCGTGTTGCCGTTTCACAGAGTAAACGTGTTGAGATGGGTCTTAAGGGCATTGAGACGAGTTAATTGTACAGTGAGGTTTATATTAAAATTACTTTTGTAAGAATTGAAATGTGACGTGACAAGTTATTCGTTGCCGGAAATGCTCAGATGAGCTTCTAGTTTTAGTAAAAATAAAATGTACGCTGTTCGTGTTGCCTTTTCACACAGTAAACGTGTTGAGATGGGTCTAAAGAGCATTGAGACGAGTTAATTACACAGTGAGGTTTACATTAAAACTGTTTTTGCAATAATTGAAATGCCACGTGACAAGTTATTCCATACCGGTAACGCTCGTACGAGCTTCAAGTCTTAGTAAATGTACGTTGTTCGTGCTGCCGTTTCACACAGTAAACGTGTTGAGATGGGTTTAAAGAGCATTGAGACGAGTTAATTGTAGAGTGAGGTTTATATTAAAATTACTTTTGTAAGAATTGAAATGTGACGTGACAAGTTATTCGTTGCCGGAAATACTCACACGAGCTTCTAGTCTTCGTAAATGTACGCTGTTCGTGTTGCTGTTTCACAGCGTAAACGTGTTGAGATGGGTCTACAGAGCATTGACACGAATTAATTGAACAGTCAGGTTTATATTAAAATTATTTTTGTAAGAATGGAAATGTCAGGTGATAAGTTATTCCATACCGGAAATGCTCACTCGAGCTTCTAGTCTTGGTAGATGTACGTTGTTCGTGCTGCCGTTTCACAGAGTAAACGTGTTGAGATGGGTCTTAAGGGCATTGTGACGAGTTAATTGTAGAGTGAGGCTTATATTAAAATTACTTTTGTAAGAATTGAAATGTGACGTGACAAGTTATTCGTTGCCGGAAATGCTCAGAGGAGCTTCTAGTTTTAGTAAATATACGCTGTTCGTGTTGCCGTTTCACACAGTAAACGTGTTGAGATGGGTCTAAAGAG